GCTTAAATAGCAGAATTACACCGAAATAAAAGGAAACAATAATAGAAATGCGGACTGACTTGCGGACTAAGAACCGAAACTGCTGCTCATGAAAACATAGCCTAAAACAGAATAAAACAAAGCTTAAAAATAGAATGACACTAACGGAAATCATCCGCTTCGTGCGTTCGTGCTGACTTCATGCGCGCCTCCTGCGTAGATGCTGACGGACCCAGTCATGCTTACTGACCCAGTCAAGCTGCATGCCTTCTTCACGTAACGGATCATCCCAAATATTTGGGATTTGGTTTACGGAGTCTTGTGGAACGACGTGGCCTATCATTACTTCCCCCAACAAGCGGATCCTTGTCCTCAAGGTCCAGACGCGGAAACATTTCCTTCAGCTTGGCTGTTGATTCCCACGTTGCCTCTTCGGGTGGAAGGTGTTTCCATTGCACCAAGCCTCCTTCAACCAGCTGAGTCCCTTGCTTGAGCCATCGGTAATCTAAAATAGTTTGAGGTTCTAAGATGACTACCCCATCGTCGGAGAAAGGTGGTAGCTCCACTCGTTTAGTTTCAGCCCTCTCCCGATTGACGTCCTCATTAAGCTGGTAGCTTTTAAGTAGCGATACATGAAACACCGGGTGAACGCGTGCTTCCTTCGGCAGCTTTAATTTATATGCGACTGGCCCAATTCTCTCGACAATCTGATAGGGTCCGAAAAAACGGCTAGCAAGTTTTTGGTGGATCCGTTTAAAGACCGTTTGCTGGCGATATGGATGTAGCTTCAACAGCACCCAGTCACCGATATTGAACGTAATGTCCCTCCGTTTTCGATCTGCCAACTGCTTCATTCGATTCTGCGATCTCTCTAAATTAACCTTTAATTGCCGTAGCAGTTCATCTCGGCGCATGAGTTGTTGGTCAACTTCGTCTACTGGAGAGAGACCATCTTTGTACGTCGGAATAGAGGGTGGTAACCGCCCATACAGCGCTTGGAAAGGAGTCATTCCAGTCGAAATGTGGTATGTTGTATTGTACCAATATTCAGCCCATGGTAAGTATGAACACCATTTCCGTGGCCACTGATGAACAAAACACCGTAGATACTGTTCGACGCAACGGTTGATGACTTCCGTTTGGCCATCTGTTTGGGGATGGTATGAGGAACTGAGCTTCAGTTTGGTGCCCGACATCTTGAAGAATTCTTGCCAAAAATTGCTGATGAAAATCGGATCCCGATCACTAACAATTGACTTGGGCATTCCGTGAAGCTTGATAATGCCTTCGAAAAATTTTTCTGCCACATTTTTTGCAGTGAAAGGATGGCTTAAGGTTAGGAAATGTGCGAACTTACTGAATCTGTCGACAACTACCATTATGGTGTCTCTTCCTTGTGAGGTCGGTAACCCTTCAATAAAATCTAGGGAGATGTCGTCCCATACTTGGCACGGAATGGGTAGTGGCTGAAGGAGTCCAGCTGGAGCCAAGGTTTCGGTTTTAATTTTCTGGCAAACTTCACATCCCTTTACGTAGTTTTGCACTGCTCCATGCATCCCCGGCCAGTAAAATTGTTGTCCCAGCTTCTTAAATGTACGTAAGACACCCGAATGACCCCCCACCTTGGTGTCATGCATCTCGTGCAGCAATTTAGCCCGTAAAGCTGTGTCGTTTGGAACAATAATCCTGCCTTTGTAGCGTAAGAGTCCTTTGCACCACGTATACGAACTTCCAGGTTGTTCTGTGGCCACACGGCTTTTTGCTTGGATGTAGGGGTCCTTTTTTGCAGCTCTTTTAATTTCTTCCCACAAGCTAACTTGCGGAAAAAAAATATTTTGAAGGACGGGACTGCCCTGTTTTCGAGAGAGAGCATCAGGTGCAGAGTTCTCTCGGCCTGGTTTGTATGTAATTTCATAATCGTAACCCAACAGCTTAGCGACCCATTTTGCTGCTCCGGAGTTGTTGCTATTTGCTGCTCTAGCTGCTAGAATAAGACATTTTTGTAGCGCGTAGACCATGATTTCCTTAGACTCGAGTTCTGTATGCCACTGGCTTGCCACGTTGAGATAGAACTGCTCCGATGCCTTCTCCCGACGCATCCGTTTCAATAGTAAAAGATTCATTGAAGTTTGGCATGGCCAGTATAGGAGTGGTCGTCATGGCCCGTTTGAGAGCAAGAAAGGCACGTCAGCTTCCTCATGCCATCCGAATTGCCCCTTTTTGAGAAGATTGGTGAGAGGTCTAGCTATGATACCGTAGTTTTTGACGAACTTCGGTAATAACCTGTCAAGCCTAAAAAAACCACGTAGTTCCGAAATGTTAGTGGGTTGTGGCCAGGCTACCATAGCAGCAATTTTTTGTCATCCACTTTCACGCCTTGACTAGTGATGATGTGGCCCAAGTACTCCAGTTCTTGCTGCCCAAATGCACACTTGCTAGATTTTACAAAGAATCGATGCTGCCTTAATATTTCAAAGGTTTGCTTTACATGTAATAAATGGTGGTCCCAATCCGGACTATAGATTAGAATATCATCAAAGAAAACTAATATAAATTTTCTAAGATGCGGACGAAAGATGGAGTTCATGATAGCTTGAAATGTTGAAGGTGCGTTACATAAACCGAACGGCATTACTAAGTATTCGTAATGACCATTATGTGTCCGAAAAAGCAGTTTATGGACGTCATTGGTTTAACGCGTACCTGATGGTAGCCCGCTCGCAGATCGAGTTTGGTAAAATATGCAGCACCGTGGAGCTCATCCAACATATCATCTACTGTTGGTATCGGAAATCGATCTTTAATGGTTGCGGCGTTGAGTGCCCGGTAATCTGTGCAAAAGCGCCAATTCCCGTCTTTCTTTTTTACTAGCAATACGGGTGATGAAAATGGGCTAGTGCTGGTTTGAACAAGGCCCGATTGCAGCATATCCTGGACCTGTTTTTCGATCTCATTTTCTGATAATGTGCGTACCGATAAGGCCGAACGTTTATTGCTTCGGTTCCTTCCTTAAGATTAATGCAGTGGTCAACTTCCCTTGGTGGTGGTAAGCATGAGGGCTCTATGAACAGATCAGAAAATTCCTGCAATAATTTTTGCATGCTTGGATGAATATTCATCGGTGTTTCCGCTTGAGCGATCTGGAAGCATAACGCAAACAGCGTTTGACTGGGGCGACAATTCTTGGTTAGCTCCTTGAGTGACGCGGCTTGGATGTCTTGCCCGTCGACGCCGACTAATCTCCTGGGTTGGTTTTCCCCATAAAAATTCCATGGTCAACTGTTTCCAGTCGCACACCACGACACCAAGTAATTCAAGCCATTGAATCCCAAGTACTACGTCCAATCCTGTGAGAGGTAGGGAATAAAGAGTTAAGGAAAACACAGTGCCCTGCAAATTGATTCGTACCCCTTCGAACCTTCCTTGACATCTAAGAGATTCTCCATTGGCAACCCAAACGGGAAAAGTCTCTGTTGGAATCACCGGTAATCGCAGCAAGTTAGCTAAACGCTCACTCAGGAAATTGTGAGTCGATCCGCTGTCAATTAATATAATGACGTCGTGGTCACCGATTCTAGCTGCTACTCGCATGGTCTTGGGCGCTGACCAGCCCCGTTAATGCATGCAATGTAATCTCTGGTTCTAGATTCTCCTCCTGGTGTCTTCCCGTATTTCTTTCTTCATTGACTTCATCATAGATAACGTTGTTATTGTCCTCGTAGCCCTCCAACATTAGTATCCGGGGCCCTTGACATCTATGACCTGCAGTAAAACGTTCGTTACAATTAAAACATAAACCTTGAAGACGTCGTCGCTGCATTTCCTCCCAACTCAGTCGTCGAACTGGAGCTCCAGGTGCTGCCCGATTTGCTGGTGGAAGAACTGGGGGAGCTCGTAATGGAGGGCCAGGTCGTAAGATCCTCCTTTGTCTCATTAGTTGATCATCTCTCATCCTTGCAAAACGTATAGCATCCTTCAAAGTTTGTGGTTTAAACATACGGATTCCATCCGAAATTTCTGTCTTCAAACCACCCATGAAGGTGCCCACCAAAGCCTTCTGTGTCCAACCTTTGACCCGGTTGCCTAATTGTTCGAATTCCCGTTGGTAATCACGCAGGGAACCCGTCTGCCGAATACGGGATAGAGCCTCGTCAAAGTCTTCGCAGTCTGATGGCCCAAAACGCGCCCAGAGTTCCTCTTCAAAATCGATCCATGAAATAACTCGACCTTCATCTTGAAAAGTCCGACGAATCCATTGCCACCACTGGTTGGCTTCTCCTTCCAAATGGTAAGATGCTAAAGAAACCTTTTGGTTGTCGGGAGTATTTTGGAACTCGAAAAACTGGTTTACTCGGTTGAACCATTCCGTAGGATCATCTCCTGAAAATCGTGGAAATTCTAATTTTGCTGTTTTGGAGGATACCACAAGTCGTCCCCCATTGTGACCTTCACGGTTTTGATTACCTTGGTTTGGAGGTTCTTGGTTGGCAAGGAGCACCTCGGAGAGACGGTTAAGAGTCTCTTCAACGTGTCGCAATCGATCCGCCATGCCCAGCTCCATCCGGTGTAGCCCCTCTTGAACTTCACCGAGTCCGACCTCCAGATGTTCAATTCTCTCTTTATTGGTTCCCATAGTAAAATCAACCTGGCTCTGAGGCCAATTGATAGGTCCCAACACAGATGATAAATTAAATATGCTAGGATAGTTGTTCTCTTCTGGTGAGAAAGTACCACAAATTGACTCAACAATGATTGATACTTCATTAATAATTCTCTTCTGCTTAAATAGCAGAATTACACCGAAATAAAAGGAAACAATAATAGAAATGCGGACTGACTTGCGGACTAAGAACCGAAACTGCTGCTCATGAAAACAGAGCCTAAAACAGAATAAAACAAAGCTTAAAAATAGAATGACACTAACGGAAATCATCCGCTTCGTGCGTTCGTGCTGACTTCATGCGCGCCTCCTGCGTAGATGCTGACGGACCCAGTCATGCTTACTGACCCAGTCAAGCTGCATGCCTTCTTCACGTAACGGATCATCCCAAATATTTGGGATTTGGTTTACGGAGTCTTGTGGAACGACGTGGCCTATCAGTTATTCAATTGGGAACCTGTTTTTGACGACATATAGCATGTACAACCCAGTTGGAAAAGATATAGACTTATCTGAGTTGGGTTATCTATTGATACTAGCAACAAAAAGTGCCCCTAATGATCCCCAGATTGTTCTGCAAGGCTTTAAAACGATGACAGAGCAACTCAACCATCTTGTAGAAATGGTGTCAAAAGGGAATGCAGATTTATTTGTTTTAAGCAGCTTGATCAATACCTTGGATGCAAATGAAGATTTTGGGTGGGGAAAGGGGACGCTGCTTGGCATTCCAGGGATTGATAGCCATAATCGAGAGTTATGCAACAGTTTCTTTATTAAAAACGCTAGGCAGCACAACGCCATTGAAGTATGGGTTACTGTACCCGAGAAAGAGATAGATTTTCTTGAACGGGATCCAGAGTTCCTCGCATTTGCTTCTCCAAATTCTTACTTTGATAGAAGTAAGATCTAAACACAAACAAAGAAACAAAAAGTTGATTCCCAAACTTAATATATTTTGAAATCTGCTCTTTATTTATTTGTTTGTTTGTTTTATTCAAATAAACGATGTGTTTGTTTTGGTATACGAATAAAAATTAATATGTTTGATTCAAATTACAAAATAGAACTATTTGTATTTTCTACAAAAGATATATGCCATCAAACTACTTCGACCTATCATTGTTATTAATTTTTTTTAGTTTAAGATAAGTATAAGGTAGTATATGTTCAAAAAATATGCTCAATCATTAATTAATCATGGTACTCGAATTTGATACCTCAATGAACAACAACAATTCATTTATCACCGAGGTCTCTTGATTCGTACATTATTATTATTATTCTTAAACCTTTGTTTATCTCTTAAAGTATATTATCTCGAGTTGTTCTTTAAATTTTTTAAAGAAAATTTATCTGTAAACCTTTAAAAATATTAGGCCAATAAAGACGTGTTACATGATAATATTGACATGTTGATCTTAATAAAAATGGTAAATGACAGTTAATTTTTTAAAATTTTGTTTTTTTAATATATTAATTTCATTTAATGAGAATATGATGTGTCATCCCGTATCAGAAGGAAAATAAGAACTAATCAAAAGAATTGAACCTTAAACATTAAGTAGAATAATCCAACACCTAGCCATCAGGCAAAACCTTGAATTTATTATACTATGAAAAAAATATTCAAGTTAAACTAAGACAGAAATTAAGTATATTTAATATATTTTTAAATTCTGTTTTATATTTTATTTAATTTAGTCTCTAAAATAAAATTGTTTAATTTAGGTATAAATTTAATTCTATTTTTCTAAAATTTTCACCTGATTTTCTTAAGGTTAATTTCATAAATATATTGATAATTCCATATTTGCATCAATAAAACTAAAAATCATTCTAGCTCGCAAAATATAGCATTAATAAAACTTTTGACTCATTTGCATTATAAAACTTGTTAATTAACCAAAGCAAACAGTTCTAAAGACTTAATTGAACAACTCAAATATTTTAGCAAATCAATCCAAATAGAAAAATTATAGGTATCAAAATGCAACTGAGCACATAATCATATTGTAAAATATATTTTAAGGTAAACTGAAAATAATTTCGACATGGATTGCACTAATTAGAAACTTAAGGGACTAATATATAATTTGAAAATAATTTTAGTATAAAAAATTAAAGCTAGGATTATTACCATATTTATGAAATTAACCTTAAAATAATAATGTGTACAAAATTTCATAAAAAAATTAAATTTAGACATCAATTAAAAAAATCTTATTTTAGAAACTAAACTAAAACAAATATCGGGTGATGTCACTTTATGGCATTCCCTCGACTATGGAAGAGACTAATGCTACACCTTTGGAGTTAAGCATCATACTCAATGGAAAAAAGTAAGGAGTCAATTTCAGTCATCTGTTTTCACTCATCTGACGATCTTAAATTTGTGTAAAACTGAAGTGTTTTACATTGTGTAAGTGAATCCGAACCCATATATATTAAATTATTAAATTTAATTATCTAAAGAAACATATATATTACTTTAGAATTTAGATACCACTTAAATATCATTTATTAGAAGAAATTAACATCCATTTTTTGTATTATCCTTAAATGAATGAAATTTTATACTATTTTTTTTCATGTTTGATTGTTCATCTTCTTTAACATGTTCATCTTACTCAAGTCATCAAGTATTCAACTTTTAATTTTATTTCAGTTGAAGGTAATTCTTTTAAAATTATTTTTATTTCAATTTATATTTATGATTTTATTAGAAATCTATATTTATAATGTGGGTCTATGAATTTTCATCTCTAAAAATAAAAATCTAGACACAATTTTAGTTATCGATATATTTTATTTCTTTATTTTTTATGTGAACAAATGAATTTTAAGAAGTTATAATTTTTTATTAATAAGATACTTTAATGTATAATTCATATTGAAAAATATATTAAAATATATTAATTAATAAATACAGATTTTATAAAATGGCTCCCTCAACATATAATATTGAGTTTCGCCACTAACATTTTGTTATTAACTTATAGTGATTACTGCAGACACTCATTGGTCAAATTACTATTATTACTTTTTTTATTATTATCTATTATTACATTAGAATTATCTTTTTTATGTTTTACTATATTTATTATTATTATCTATTTATTTTACATTAGAATTATCTTTATATATTATTATTATTACTCTTATTAGTATTTATTATTATATATTATTTGTATATATTATATATTATTCTATATACTCTCTTCGTCCCACTAAATATGTCTCCTGAATTTTAAAATTATTTCATTCATAATTTTCTATTAGAAAAGTCAACAAATAACGACACTTTTATTTTCTTTTTACCCTTGTATCTCCCACTCTTTATGCCTATCAAAATAAGTCTATCAATCAATTTTTAGGGATAATTTTGTCATTTCTTTTGATAAAATATATCTCCTAAAACTATATGCATAGTCAATACGAGACACAAATTATGAGAAAAAAGGAGTGTTATTTAGTATTATTTCTTCTTCTTCTTATTATTAGTGTTATTATTATTATTATTTTAATATGGGTATTAACGTGTTTTATTTATGTTGGTACAAATTACAAGTTAACCTAATTACAAAATGACCCAAGCATCACAACTAGCCAACCTAAGAACAAGAGAGCCAAAGGCCCAATATATTACTAAAACTAGAGAAACCTTATATACAAAGATCCTCCAGCTGCCGCCAGTCATGAAATCCAACCAACGGGCATTGCAACTCACACACTGACAAGAAGCATTCTGTAACCCCCAGACCGATGCGGGTAGCCCGATCCGATCCGGGAAGTCACATTAGGGCCACCGGAGCGACCCACTGTAAAAATAGCGGAAAATTAAAAACTTTTTATCAGAACATGTAAACTTATAAAATCAGTTTTCACTATTTAAAAATAAAACAGATTTCCAAACTCGTATATAAATCAAAATACAATTACATGCCCCCTAATCACATGTACCATACTCTGCAACAACACCGGACGAACTCCCTTACTGAAGTCAATAGATGCACTGGTACAATTCTTTTAACCTGAAAAGGTGAGTGATAGAGTGAGCTTTGGAAAGCTCAGTGATACAGAACTACCAGATGATGCTGATGAACATGCATATACAGATAAATATATATTTCCTTATTGTTTCCGAACATTTACAGATTTTTATGCTGAGCAGAGATCCTACTGATATTTCAGGTGGTAACGGACAATGAGCGTTCAGTTCAGAGAAATATTTTGGATGATTGAGTTCAGGAGATCAGAATATGTTTTCTAGTGTGTTCCCAAAAACCATGTAACTTTTCAGATCTTTTTAAAACATATATATATATATACCCCCATCCGTTCACATCATAAATGTGTAGGTTCCCCAGAACCATACACCCAACCGCACATGCCATTTAGACCCTGAGCACAAAGCCGAGGAGTCTGTAGATAATCTTCCTCCAACAATAAACCCCCCAGATAAAACATGTCTCCGTCAGTAAACGGAGATATCATAAATCAAAACAGAATTCAGATCAGATATCAGAACATAATCCATATCAGAAATCATAACAGAATTCAGGTAATGTATCAGAACAAAATTCAAGTCAGAAATCAGATAAAATATTTATATGATTAGGGAACACACCAGAGTTTACAGATATTATTCAAAGGTATTGGATAATCTTAACAGGTAGAGAAACATGAATATTCAGTATACCGATAGGATATCGGAATTTAGAATCACTATTGGAAGAGTTCATTAACTGACAGAATCATCAGTTATTCAGAATGTGAATTATCAGGATATTATCTTATTCGGACAGTTTTCAGAAGCTGTACGTAATCAGAAGGGTATTCAGAATCCTTTACATCCATGTCAATTGATCGGATAATCGAACAACTTGAGAACGAAGATTCAGAACCTTAACAATCTATGTCGACTTGTCAATTCATTTTCCTTCTAGGGTATTTACTCTTTAATACCACAAATTCTTGTCCGTAGACCATTTTCGAAATTATCGTTGAATAAATCTTCCAATGTCTTTATTTCATTTCCACGCTTCCACAATATCATGAAATGCTGACGTACTTGATTAATTTGTTTATAACCCATTGTAATTGTACACTACGTAAACTCATCAGAGTTTCCAGACTTATCCAAATCACTTATTAAATCCTCAGTCATTAAGGTTACGTAGTTCATTTAGCAGTCATGTTCATTCTAGTTACTTCAGGATTTTCCAGAGTAATTCAAACGTTCCTGAATTTCAGATACATGTTGTACTTCCATTCCATCCAATTTGGTCTTCGTGGTTGATTTGTCGAACAAACATCCAATTCTTAGTACTGAATACGATCTAGAGCTGAGCTGAGCTGAATACTTCCAAAATTTATCATCGAGCCAAACTTGAGAAGACGAACACATGTTCCAATAATATCTATGCCATTCAGGTATTGGCATAGCTTTAGGGTTGATCTATTCACTTAAATTGTTTTCCATTACCTTTAAAGGTAGTCCAATACTTATGCTTACTTGGATTCCTTAATTAATCCAAGACATTTACTTAATTTAGGCCATAAGGGTATTTTGGTAATTTTGATGTTCAATTTTATTCCATTCATTTTAGAGCTCGAGGATATTCAATCATTCCTGAGCTTGGTGATATTCTTGAGTCATTTACATTACAGGGGTATTTTGGTCATTTTACAGATCTACGGTATTTCAATCTTTTCCTTCCATCCGGTCTTATTATTTAATTCAATCTTATCATTTACCTTAGTCCTTTCGAATAATTCTGACAGCAGAATACCCCCGATAAATTATTCTTCAAGTATTTACTCATTATTAAGATATTTTCGAGTCAAGTGTCTTCTCAGATTTTACAAACGGAATATCATGAATTTTCTGTACAAAGACAGGATCTTAAC